AAAAAAAAAAAAAAAGAAAGAAAGAAAGAAAAAGAAAATGAGTATTAGTTAGAAATACAGTAGAACCTCTATCAACTAACCACCCAAGGAACTTTAACAAACTGGTCAACATACAGAGTTAGTCAACATAAGAAACGGGGCTAGAGTGCTGATACGTGCATTTTGAGTCTATGAAAAATGAGGTCAATTTAAGGAGATGGTCAACTGTGGAGGTTCTACGGTATTATTTATTCTATTCATATCTGTTTAACTTCTACATAATGATGCATTGTTATATATGTCAAAAGGAAAAAAATGCCTTGTCTTTTGAAGAGTTCGTATACTCATTCACATGGGTATGAGAATGGATAATAACTTACCCAATATTCAGCTTTTCTATTTTCCTTCCTCAGAGAACCCAGATACTGTTTGAGGTGGCAGTATGCCCAGCTGAAACACTGGCCGCTTCAAACTGCTTTGCAGCTAGGAGTAGCTCTCTAATTCTTTAATGACCAATGAGATATGAGCTTAATTTACTAGTTAGAATCTCTAAGAAACCATTTAAAAAGAAGACAGACTTGGCAACAGTATTCAGCCCTTCACCCTTCCCTTTCCTGCCTAGATAGGCAGTAGCCATCTTGCAACTACGAGGAAGAAAGCCACAAGGATGGCAGAGTGGAAAAGCAGAAAGAACCCTGATATTCAGTGGCACCACAGGTCTGCTTCTTACAGGACAAAAACAAATGCCTGACTTCCTGCTACATGGAGCCAAACGCAATCTTAGGAGAGACAGCATGCCATTTTAGAAACCCCTTCTGGCATGTACCCACAGAGATGGTTTCATGCCATCCTGAGCCTTTGGCAAATATTAACATAATTTTCTGTATGAGGTTAAAGAAGCACTATTCATACTATAAAAACCTAGTACATGAAAAAGCCTGATTTTCTCTTGCATCTTCCTTCTACTTAATTTTTTTTTCTGACAAACAGAATCTGTCCTTACATCTCACGCTCTGTTACTTCTGAATTGAGGAGAGCTTATGTTTTAGCACTCTGAGGAATCTCTGGAGAATGGCTAGCACTTAAACAGAGGACCTGGGTGCCTTGAGCTGAACTACACTTAAAAGGCACAGAAGGGAAACGTTAGATTTGCTCTGTGGTGGTGTTGTTAATGGTAACAGGGATTTTTTTTTAAGTTTCTTTTTTTCAAAATATTCAGCCACTGATGAGATTTCTATGAAAAACTGTAGACTGCCCCCAAAACAGATAAACTGAAGCAGATGAAGGTATTGAAGAAGATAGGTAGAAATAGTTATACTATGTGGATTGCGGGTGGAGACTTCTGCTCTCTGCCTTCACTGTATGTACCTCCCCCAACTGATAGCCAGCAGAAATCACACCAAACAGGTAGGTAGGGGAATGCTATCTGTGGGTCCAACCCTCACATTTTGGGAGCTGAGTTGAGTATACAGATGGAGGCCCTGGCTTTCTCTCCTGGCTCTGCCTTTTCACCTTGATTCTGTCCTGCATCTGTGAGGGCCTCGCCCCTCCTTTGTGTGTGGACACCCTAGTGACATAGCCCATCTCTAGTCACCCTTTCCCATCAGCTGCCCCACCACCATACCTAGAATTATACCAAAAAGGAATGTCCTGGGGAAAAAATTCAAAGGCACTGATATTAGATGCAGGCAAATTTAGGCAGAAGATTTTCAAGTTGCACCTGCTAGATGTATGTTCTATGAAGAGGGTGTAGGTATTTTGTGCCAATGTCTATACACTCTCAAGAGAACACTGGTGTGCAATCTCTAAAGCTCAGGGGCCAGTATAGGGGCCCCCAGTAGCCTGGGTCTAAGGTTGCCAGATAAGATCAGATAACACTGCGTTCAGTTTGAATTTAAGGTAAATGAAAAATAATTTTTATATAAATATATCCCCTGCAATGTTTGGTACCTACTTATACAAAAAGTAATTATTGGGTTTTTTGTTTGTTTTTGAGACAGAGTCTCACTATGTCCCCCTCAGTAGAGTGCTATGGCGTCACAGCTCACAGCAACCTCCAACTCTTGGGCTTAAGTGATTCTCTTGCCTCAGCCTCCCAGGTACCTGGGACTACAGGTGCCCACCACAACACCCAGCTATTTTTTGTTGCAGTTGCCATTGTTGTTTAACTGGCCCAGGCCGGGTTCGAACCCACCACCCTCAGTGTATGTGGCTGGCTCCATAACCACTGTGCTACAGCGCTGAGTCGAATTATTATTTTGTTAACAAGGCGTCTTATGTTTTTATTTGCTAAATCTGACTACCCTTCCTAT